CTAGCCATTCCATCGGAGCACCTTCGGCATCGGAGGTGAATCGATGGTACCTCTTGGAGAACCTGGGCGCGTGGATGATGGGAAATATCTGATTCGAGGCCACGTTAGCACTGGGCAGGTCTGCGTCAGGTTGCAAGTGTACCGTACGGGGCCGACGGCCTGGAAGTAGACGTCTTTAAGACGGTGGCAGAATTCCGGCGGAGGAAGCATGGCCAAGATGGCAGACTGGCTCTCAGCATTGCGGCGGGAGAAGGGATACGGCGCGCCCGGCGTGTCAGTGACGGTATTTCCTTGGTCTGGCAGCGAGACATCGGGCGACGCGCCTTGGATTATATTCCAAGTAGACGCCACGGGAAGAAAGCGCACATGGCCCGAGCTCGACGTAATCAGGGTGCCGGTTTGGTCCGAGTTGCAAGGGCCGGGGTAAGGCTCCTTGAAGCCGGAGGCCACGGGTGCCATGTCCGCATCCCCCGTCGAGAGGGACGCCGTGCCGGCCGCCGACCCGGGCGTCGGTTGAAGGCGGACAATCCTTTCCAGAGCCTCAACCCTCGAAGCTAGGGAACTGTCGTCCACGGCGTGACTGCTTTCCGGTGGACGCGAATCGTGTGCTGGTGCAGACTGCAGTGGTGAATGGCCTGACCCGACGCTATAAATACAATGTGCCCGAGGAACACGCCTGTGGATGCATGTCGTGCAGGGCGGTCCGTCTCGTGTGCAGCGAATCTTTCGCTCCCTACACGCCTCGCAGGAGACAGGAGTGCGCTTCTTTCTTTGCTGCCTCGGCATCGCGGCGATGCAAGGCTGGCAGTACAAGGCTGGCAGTAGGTGCTGGGAGCGATGGGTCGTGTGTGGTTGTGACGGACGAAGCGTCCCTCGGAAGCGCGGAGAAAGCGGCGTTGTGCGACCCGCGAATACCGCCCCACCGCCCCACACCACCTCCGTCTCCGCCTTTCCCGCCGGCACCGGGCGCGGCAAAACACCAAACGGCCGAGTGGGACATGCATGAGCCGGGCGTGTAAGATTGATATAATACCCGGCATCCTCTTCTCGTTTTGGACGCCTTTTTTTCTTGAAGCGTCATGAATTAAAACACAATATTCTATTGCCAAGATGCAGTCTTTTCTACAATATCGACGTCTTAGGAAGGCTGCTCACGCACAAGTTGGTGACGCCAATGCTGCCGGCGCGCCTGGCATACCTACGCCGTCTCATACATGTACCCTGCCTACCGAATCTCTAGGCGACAGAACCAACTTCCAAGGGTCCATTCCTGGCATCAACGTACAGACCTCGGGCGACAGAGATGTCGAATCCTCTCTTCTCTTTATTGTCACATGGGCCGGAGACCAAGACGCTGAGAATCCGCGAAACTTTTCCATGGCTAGACGTCTGACTGCGACCCTTCTCGTATCGATATTGGGCTGTATTGTCGGCGTCGCCTCCTCCGTCTACTCTGGAGTTGCGCCCCAAATGCCGAGGCCTTCGGTGTCTCTGAAGTCGCCGCATCGCTCGTAACTGGTACGCTGTCCACTTACAGGCAACCGCCTTTTCAACACACTCTCCAAAGGGCAGTGCTCTAACATTCACAGGCATCTATCTTCTCGGGTTTGCCGCCGGCTCCCTCGTCAGCGGCCCTCTCTCGGAAGTTCTTGGCCGCAATTTGGTCTACGTGAGCTCGTTGACGCTCTTCATCATCTTCGTCATGGCCTCGGCTTTGGCACCAAACTTTGGCGCGCAGCTCGCTTTCCGCTTCCTGTCTGGCGTGTTTGGCTGCCCGCCCCTGACTTGTGCGGGCGGCACTATAGCAGACCTGTGGAACCCGTTGGAAAAGACGACTTACTTCCCCATGTATGCCATTATATCTTTTTGCGGTCCTGCCATGGGTCCTTTGATCGCATCCTATATCGGCCAGACAGATGTACTTTCTTGGCGGTGGGCGGGCTGGATTGTCACAATCATGTCCGGGGCCGTCTTGGTATTGATTGTATTCTTTCAGCCCGAGACCTATTCGCCACTGCTGTTGAGTTGGAGAGCCAAGCACCTCAGAGCTGCTACTGGAGATGGGCGATTTCGTTGCGAGATGGATGTCGACCACATCTCTCTTGGTCGTCGGATTGGCAGGGCCATGAGGAACCAATTTCTCATCACGATACATGAGCCGATTGTCTTGCTGATTTCCTTATACATGACTGTGGTATATATCGTGCTCTTCACATTCTTGGATGGCTACGCCTATATTTATACCGACGTTCATGGCTTGTCCCAGGGTTTGACCAACATCATCTGGGTCGCCATGGTTATTGGTATCGTTTGCGCCGCGTTCCTCGTCCCTCCAGCTTATATCTGGACAAGGAAGCTGTTACGCGAGAACGCCGAGGGACGGTTTTCCGACGGGTTCCATATCCAGCCCGAACAGCGTTTGTGGTACGCCATGCTGGGAGCTCCTTTGATACCCATCAGCCTGTTTTGGATGGCCTGGACTGACTTTGTAAGTTCTGCTACTGCGGTCCAGACGAAGGGTATTCTCAGTGCTAATACGCAGCTGTAATAGGCCCGAATTTCTGTCTGGTCCCCGATTATTGCTTCGGCCGTCTTTGGGCTTGGTACAATTTGCATCTTTATTAGCTCCTACATGTACGTCATAGACTGCTATCATATCTATGCCGCCTCGGCATTGGCATTCATGACCGTCTCTCGTTATGCCGCGGCCGGTGTAATGACCGTCGTTGGCATTCCATTCTATCGGAACATGGGCGTCCAGTGGACGCTCACAATCCTCGGCTGCATCGGCGCCGCTTTGGTTCCGGTCCCATTCGTCTTCTACTGCTCCGGCCCAACTATCCGGAAATGGAGCAAGTTTGCCGAGAGCCAAGACTCCAAGGTTTAAGCCTGTAGGTAGATATGAATAGACAAAGAGAACGGGGCTACATCTGTATCCTAATACACACTATGCAATTATGAAGCATGGGGGAAATACCACACACACTATGTATAGATATTAGACCTTGTGTAACTAATAATTCTTGGTACTTTTTTCGTACTACAAAGCTTAGACATGACTTTCGCGCAACTGGAGATTTTGAGAGCGAAATCTCGAGCGGGTCATTCGTTAAATTAGTGTATCTGGTAAACAAGTGAAGTAGAATATACTCATTTTTACTTTATTTGACTAGATAGATTCATTACTAGTCTCAAAGAGAATTACGTACTTAACACTACTAGTGACGTACATCACTGACCCAAAGTCCTGGCGACAAGACTCATCAGCCTCTCAGCAATATCAACTGCGAAACCGCCATCGTTAATCTCGCGAGCATCCTCCACCACCCGAATACCACTCTCTTTCAATCCAAATTTCAACGTCTCAAATAGAGCGCCATCGGCACGGGAGTCCGCAAACGGCCCCGACGGAGTCGAAAGGCTGCTCACGCCTCCCATCGGAAGCCAAACTTCCACCATGGAGGCGTCCTTAGCGAATCGACGGAGCTTGTCCACCATAAACATGGCCACGTCAGCACACTCAGTGTCAGAGGTTCGCATGAGAGTAACGTTGGGGTTATGCCTATACAATCTACGATGTTTGTAACACGTCGGAACCGTCTCCAGCGGCCCAAAGTTGACCATGTCCACCGCGCCAACGGATACAACGTTAGGTATGCCCCTTTTCAACGCGGCCTCGAAGCGCTCGGTGCCGGCACGCATGTTCCCGCCCGCGAGCAAATCGCACACCTCGGTCGTGGTGAGGTCCAGGACGGCATCGAGCCCACCTTGTTCGACGAGCCGTTCCATCGACTTGCCCCCATGACCAGTGGCGTGGAAAACATACACCTCTGCGTCGTGGTGGCTTTCTAGATGGCGCCTAACGGTGTCTACGCATGCGGTCGTGACTCCAAACATTGTGATGCCGATTCTGGTTCTCTGCGTTCCGGCGGTCTTGGTGCGTGGGTTGTCGCGCGCCAGTCTCTGTTCGTAGGACAAGGCCATGCCGGCAATGGCGCCTGCTGCGTTGGAGAGAATATCGCATAGTAGCCGATTTGTGCCGGCGATGTCGACGACAGAGTACATGAGCGACATGTCTGTTTCTCCGACTACGGGGCCCGTTTCCCCGGATGCGACGGTGCTGACGATGAGCTTGGGGAGGCCGAGAGGGACTGCGTCTCTCATGACGGCGGAGACGATGCTCGTGCCTCCGCTGCCGCCGGCTCCGATGATTCCGTGTATTTTGTGTCTATGTTCTAGGTCGCGGATGTATTTGGACGCGCAGGGAATCACCTCGTCAATTGCTTCGGCGCGGGACCTGGGCGGGACATGGCGGCCGGGTTGGGAATATTGTTCCAGCAGTTGGGACCGAGATATGCTGATGGCACTGTTTGTCACTTGCTCTCTACCACAGTCGATGAGGGTGATATGCGTTGGAAGAGGGAGACATTGAGATATGCTGGCGATGCGCTCGCGAAGATACATGAATTCGTCCTTCTTAGTATCGAGTGTTCCGATAATGACAATGTGAGGCATCTTGAAATGAAATTGAGAGAGAGGTGGATGCGGGGAATGCGGGAGGTGATTTATCTTCTCATCACAGCGAGTGAAATGAACACGGCAACGCCAATGCGACAATTGCCCACTATGCTGGTGACTGTGATATTTGCGCTTGGTAAATAAAGGCTTATACTAAACGGCACTCAGAGTCGGCGCCGTGATGTCCGCGATATCCGCGTCCGCGATGTCCGCCATCGCCGCCATCGCCGCCATTTCCATTGCCAGCCCAGGTTGTTGGCGCCGCGAGGTCCTTGGGTAAAGAAGCTCAAAGTCTACATCATCGACTACGAAGCAAGTACTTAAACCAGCCTGTTTCCACAGATGGAATCATCATGTCCCCCAATCAAACGGCAATAGTTGTACGACTTGGCTGTCCTTCTGAATCTCTCCTGTCTCCCATCTAAATTCCGCCCCCCGTCCACATAACCACCGTCATGAAACGGCACGAAATTATCCAGCGCCTCCGCGGCCAGATAGAGAAGAAGAGGCCGATTGTCGGTGCCGGTGCCGGTATGATAATAGCCCACCTCGTCTGATATATAGTAATACCCTTAATAGTATTAAAATAAGTAAGTTAGTTATGTAAAAATAAGATAAAAAGTAATTAGGTATATATATTTATAATAAGTATTACTTTTAATTATTAGGTTAATAAGTAAGGTTAATATATTTAAGTTAGGCATATATACTTTATAATAAATAGCACACTAACTCTTCTCTGCCAAGGAATCGGTCTTTCGGCCAAGAGCGTCGAGGCCGGCGGCGGCAACCTGATTGTCATTTACAACAGCGGTCGATTCCGCATGGCCGGCCGCGGCAGCCTGGCAGGGCTCATGCCCTACAGCAACGCAAACAAGACTGTCGTCGACATGGCGGCCGAGGTTCTCTCCGCCGTCCAGCACACGCCCGTCCTTGCCGGCGTCTGCGGAACCGATCCGTTCGTCAACATGCGCCGCTTCCTCGGCCAACTCCAAGACATGGGCTTTGCCGGCGTGCAAAACTTTCCCACTGTTGGGCTTATAGACGGCAATTTCCGACTAGGCTTGGAAGAGACGGGCATGGGATACGATAGGGAAGTGGCCATGATTGCTGAAGCCGCCCAAATGGGCCTGCTTACCACGCCGTATGTGTTTGATGCCGACGACGCCGTTGCCATGACCCGGGCGGGAGCTGATATCCTCGTCGCGCACATGGGGTTGACTACCTCGGGAAAAATTGGGGCGAGAACAGCAAAGAGTCTCGAGGCGTGCGTTGCCGAGATCCAAGAGATACGGGACGCGGCGGTCGCTATTAGAGAGGATATTATTGTCTTGTGTCATGGTGGTCCGATCGCCAGGCCAGAGGATGCGCAGTATGTTCTCGAAAGGGTCGAGGGCCTTCATGGATTCTATGGTGCTAGTTCTATTGAGAGGCTGCCGGTAGAGGTTGCTATCCAGCAGGTTACTCGGGAATTCAAGGATGTCAACTTGGAATTGGTCAAATAGTAGACGAGCCGACCGGGTACGCAGAACCACGAAGAGGCAGTTTGAATAAATGTCATAATCTGGGGGCTGCTTGCTGAGCATTCGACTATTTTCTTTGTAGTGCTCATATCTATTCTGGACAGATGCAGCTTTGGATAACTCATAAAGCAGATGGATGTAGCAGCGCGTCAACTCCACGCCTCGATTGTTTACACGAAAGTTTCATATTTATATCGAGTATAGGTCTTGTATTGAATTCTGCCTCGTGGCGGTCTAGCTCTGCAAGATATTTCTCCGCAATCCTGGTATTCTGCCGAAATTATCAACTCATCCTTGTCTTATTGTCCTTGTTAATCAGCCACGCATTTTCGTCCAGACGTGGCCAATACAGGCCGCCCGAAACATGCCAAGACTCTGGGCGGTCAAGAAAAAAAGACGTGGAGCTCTCGTACGCTGGGAAACAGTTGTACCATTCTGTGTTTTCCCGGTAAAAAACATACTTTATAGCCCACGTGGGACACCAAGGTGACTCTAAAAGGCCGTACAACGTGAGCGCCAAATAATAAGCTCCGAATCCCCCTCATCGTCCTCACTAACAAACAGCAAGGTTCTCCAGCTCACTAGCCACAGCATCGAGATCACCCCCGTCTCCTGACAGCTGATATTTGCTATAAGTATTGCCGAGGTTGCTGAGAGGATCGACTTGGGCGCTCGCATCTTGTTGTGGCTGATCTCTTGCTGGAAGATGAATCGTTTCCTGGGCAAATTTGATTCCTTTCTCCAGATCTTCCGTAATTACCGTCTCGGCAGTGGAGATGAATTCAACTCGGTCGACTCCGATGCTGATATCGTCACCCTGGGCTTGCCCGTTGCCCATTACATTATACTTTATATTTAAGTAGAAATGCAAAAAATATAAAAACCCAAGTCTATCAAGATTCAAGGTGTATTATATATATATATATTTTTTCTGGTCTCTTATTATTCTTGGCCTGGTACAGCCGCCTAGTGGCTTGTGGAGACTCGCTTACCTAAGAAAATTGTACAGCAGCACAAGCCACTGGGCAGCTAAAGAGATGGTTGTAATTTTACTTGACAACTCCGCAATAAGCGATATAATAATCCCCCTTGATATTATATAATTTCAAGCATTGAAAAGTTGTACTTGAAACCTGTTTCTATTAGGCACCACCCCCTGCTAGGTTACGCATGAAGAATAATTTGAGAGGTAAAGCATATGCAACAGATACTTGGACGCTTTTGATTTGTAGAGTGGGCCGAATTAAGGTTTGTTGATGGGCAAAAGTCAAATTACACGGGAGCGCGGCTCCACCCGCGGCCATGCGCATCAAAAGGCCTCATGTCATGCAAGTCGGCCCGCCGTTGCAGATTCCACAGCCCGGCGGCCGTGACATAAATACCAGGAAGGAACCCGTATGACCAGCATGTCCTGTGCTATGCCATCATCCAACTTGAACCATTCATTCCTTTAGTCTAACGCCCCGGTGGCCATCGAAATGCCGTCTCTCTTCGCTTCTTCACTAGCGCTGCTCGCCGCTTCTGCTACTGGCGCTGCCGCTGCATGTGCCGGTAAAAAAAATTCCACAGGCTACGTCAACGCCGTCTACTTTACCAACTGGTGCGCCTTCCGTGTTCCTTCTACAGGTGGCAAACGCCCAGACTAACGGCCGCAACAGGGGCACTCACAATGGCACCAACTTCCAGCCCGCCGCGCTGCCCGCGCCGCAAATCTCCCACCTCAACTACGCCTTTCTGAACCTGACCATCAACGGCACCGTGTAAGTCACGTCCAGTCTGCCATCAATAGGTACCCCGGCGACCCGGCCAACTAACCACCCGCCCACAGCTTCTCTGCGGATCCCGTCGCCGACACAGAGAGGCGCTACCCGGGAGACTGTAAGTCCGATCCCACCACGGTTCATATGTACATATATGTACACAAGTATGTACAGTCCAGCTCACGCTGCCTGCAGCCCAGGATAAATCCGACACGGCCAACGTCTACGGCGCCGTCAAGCAGCTGTTCCTGCTCAAAAAGGCCAACCGGCACATGAAGCTGCTCATCTCCATCGGCGGCTGGACGTGGTCGCAGAACCCGGCCTTCGCCACCGTGGCCGTGGCCGCCTCCAACGCCACCCGCCTCACCTTTGCGCGGTCGGCCGTCGAGCTCGTCCGCGACTGGGGCTTCGACGGCATCGACCTCGACTGGGAGTACCCGCAGGACGCCAAGCAGGCCGCCGACATGGTGCTCCTCCTGCAGGCCCTGCGCGACGAGCTCGACGCCTACGCCGCCCGCTCGGCCCCCGGCTACCGCTTCCAGCTGACCATTGCCTCGCCCGCCGGCGCCGCCGCCTACAACAAGCTGCAGCTGGCCAAGCTCGGCGCCATCCTCGACTACGTCCACCTCATGGCCTACGACTTTGCCGGCTCCTGGTCCAACGCCAGCGGCCACCTCGCCCACCTGTACACCAACCCGCAGCTGGTGAACCGCTCCGCCGACTCGGCCGTCCGCGACTACATCAAGGGCGGCGTCCCGCCCCACAAGCTCGTCCTCGGCATGCCCATCTACGGCCGCGCCTTTCCCAACACCACCGGCCTCGGGAAGCCCTTCACCTCCACGCCCCCCACCGAGGGCAACGAGGAGCCGGATACCTACATGTACAACAAGCTGCCCAAGGCCGGGGCCGTCGAGATGTACGACGACGTCGCCAAGGCCGTCTACAGCTACGACAACCGCACGCGCGAGCTCATCTCGTACGACACCCCGACCGTCACGCGCGACAAGGTGGCCTACGTGAAGCGCCTCGGGCTCGGCGGCAGCATGTTCTGGGAGGCGTCGGGCGATCGCAACGGCTCGCAATCCCTCATCGGCACGAGCCTGCGCGCCCTGGGCTCGCTCGACTCCTCGCAGAACTTGCTCGACTATCCGGACTCGCGCTATGCCAATATCAGGAACAAGATGGCCTGTTCGTAGCTGCTGCTGCTGCTGCTGCTGCTTTTGGTGCGCCTAGTTATACATTCGTTCCATGGCCGAGTCCACATGTTGGAGCGCGGCATTCTTTTCTCTTTCCTGTATGCTATTAGTTTGGTGCGGCTATAGACTCTCTTTCAACCCACGCGTCTTGCCATGTTCCCATGCTTCATTCTTGTGACTGTCTAAATAGTTATACAGGACTAAAATAAGTCTTAGCCTTAGCTGTCCATTCGACTGTTGTAGTAAAAGTGCCGACCAGTAAGTACAATAGGACTTGAATTAAACAAAGAATTCGTTGCTACACCAACACCACTCATGCCAACTCTTAAAACCTTGCCAACGGCCCCTGTACACGATATCCGGGCGAGGCGAGAGATTCTTGCAAGCTTCGTGGGCAAGACGGGCGTACCTCCGGGTGTGTTCCAAACCACCCACCATGTAAAAAACGCCAAACGGCTACTTGCTGCCAATCTGACACTTGTCGTCTAAGAAAACGGAACAAAGCTCGGCAAAGGAACCCGCAGCCCTACATGTGCACGGCGGGGGATTCATATCACTCAGCCCAGCAGTCATGGTCACATGGCTGTCAGAATATGTCTTGAAGACCAGTGTTCAGCTTTTCTGCGTCGACTACCGGCTTGCTCCCGAATACCCCTACCCAATACCTCTGGACGACTGCCGGGTTGCCTTGAACTTGGTGTCATGGGCGGGGGTGCAGGGGGTGGCTTGGCTGGAGGACTGACTCTTCTCGCTCGACGTCGTCAGCTACAACCGCAAATTGCGCCCCAGATTCTTCGCTGTCCATGCTTGACGACCGGAATAAAGAATCTATCCCTAAAGGCGCTGCAACGGTGTGGAATGCTGAGGATAATGTGGCAAGGTAGGAAGAAACGATGTTCCTGTACACGCTGCATCGGCACGAGTTGAAGATGCAGCAGGGCTTCCTCCTCTTTATATGGATATTAGCCAGCTCCATCTACTTTTGAAGGAAAAAGTATATGTTGAAAAGTTTCTCGCCGCAAATATGGAGACACAGTTCCATATCTACTCGGGGTTGCCTCATGCTTTCGAGGGTCTAGCATCGGGCCATTCAGTTGCGAGGGAGATGAAGGAGAAGCGTATCTGACGACTAGGAAAGTTTTTGCGAAGTGTAAAAACAGGTGGACTGTCCAAATCGGTAGCATCATGGAGCTGGGATGTATTCTGAAACGTCCTAGCTGGAGGAGTTGCATTGATCTACTCATCAATTCTTGGCACCTTGCACGTGCCGTAATCGCTGATCCTTGGCTAGCTTGTAGAAGATCCATGCCCCCCAGAGCTGGGCCGCCGAAAATAAAAAGTGCAGAAGGGGCGTCACAATCTTGAGCGATAAGCTCCATTTGTCCCAAAGGCTTCCAAACAGCCACATGACAACAACGGTTTCCACCGTGGTACCAACAAGCTCCAGAGCCATGGTAGTATAAAATAATCGAGAGAGCAGTACGTGATTCGAGTTGTGAGTGCGGTAGATGATCATGGCGATGTGAGGCCAGAGTTCGGCCAAAACATCGAAAGTGCCTGTGCTCGCGTTAATGGGCCATGTCGGCAGCGAAACTGAGGGAGAGCGTGGCGGAAGAATCATACCCCAGATGAAGCAAAGAATAAACTCGTACACAGCATCGCTTTGGTGATCAAAGTCGATGCTCATGGCAATGGCTGACTGTGCAATGATGATTGCGCCAACATGGTGAGCGAAACTGATGGGCGAGATATTATCGCGGTAAAAGAGCTCAAAGATGTACATGACGGTAAAGATTTGCGACGAGACAATCAACACGTCTCCAAGAGTCGTCGATGATCCTGGAGAGAAGGGCGTGTGCGGTGTTCCGTAGCCGACAAGAATAGCGAGCAGTGGGTAAGCCGTCACGATGATGAGCAAAATCTTGGTTCCGGCCGCTACGTGATGGTTCACGAAGCTCCGTAATTGAGCATCAGTGAGGTCTTTCAGGACTCGAGGCGAGTAGAACTTGGGAATGACGACGAGGTCGAGGAGGTAGATGCGGATGGCGGCGAGGATGCAGGCAGCAATGGTAAGAATGAGGCCCGAGAAGGGCGCAATTTGCGAAACGAGCTGGTTGACCAGCTGTGCAAGATGCGGACCATGACTACCGGCGTGCTGATGCATTTTAGGGAGGAGATTGTTGGCAAACGCAGCCGATAGCGAGAGGGTGACGATATGAGGGGGAAAATGGCAGACATTGGGATATTGGGAATGGAGAGAGGCCCCTGGCTCGTGTGCCTCGTGTCCCAAGCTGCGCTGCGTGACGATATTCGGATGTGAGATGCCGAAGCCCCATATTTTGTGCCTGTACCTCTTTTTCTCGAGACTAGGGTCGTCAAGTGGGATGTGAGCTATTGGAGGCAGAGGAAATTTGGTATGCGGAGTAGATGGTGATGAAAGGGTTTAGGTGGCTTGTGATGGCTTCAATGTCAGGAAACAATTGTCCCATGTCTCTGTGAGGGAGGTTCGCTTCCTTTCCACGAGGCGTGCCAAGACAGCCAAGCTTTTTGTTCCTGGATCAACGGCCAAGATCACCAGTACGGCCCCACATAAAGGTGGAGCGAGTCATCCCCTGGCAGTTGCTCAAAGCGGCTGAGTGTGGCGCAAGTGGCTGGTAACTACTCGGGAGGTCAACTTACTGTACACCAGAGCTTGAAAGTTATCACATGATAGCAGGCACCGTACGGAGTAGCTAGATGATAAAAATCCTGTACTAAGATACAAAAGAGGGAGATTGGCGGGACGTCAAGCCGTTATACGACTTCAGATGCGACGGGTACGTGCGATTCCTACCGACGAGAATTCACCGATAGCTATACTTGACTGGCGGGCGGCACAGACTGTTCACCGTAGGTCATGCATATAAAAACAAAGAGGGAGGTTTGCTTCTTCAAGCACGCGTAGTCCATATTAGTCTCCATGTTAAGGCATTGCCAATTTCGATTTAGTCGTATTATAGCCCTTGACGCGATGACAATTCTGACTGCAATACCTGTACCTAACTGCTTAGTTCCCGTTGTAAAGTAATAGTATCGCTTATCGTTTATTTTTATCCTGGTTTGACAGCCACGACTCACGGCAGTTGTCGGGTTTGAGTGTTAGGCCGTGGCCAAAAGATCCACCAATAGCGGCCCTTCTTGTTCTTGTGAAAGCAACTTGGTCCCTTGCGTGTTTTCCATAGTCTATTCATAATTTTCATAAGTTACCGATCCCGTTTACTCGAGCTACTACGCTTCTCAACCATCCAAACATAGTTCTGGAACCACTCGACCATCTCTGCCGGCTTTACAGCAAAAGTAATTGTAGCCGTCGAGCCGCCCAGTCGTGCCCTCGATCTAGGCCACCTTCTTTTCCTTACTACCGAGAGCATCAAAACTCTATCAAAGCGTCCTTGCGGACTTGCGCAAAGAGAGTCGAGACGCTAACACTCTTGGCCAGCGAGATTGGTGTCAGCCCTTTCAAGCGGAAGCCAGTCAACTCGCGGATCCGCTTATCAAAAGCCCGCACGGTTGCGGAAACATCGAGGCTGGCATGAACGACGCCTTTTTCCACAAAGGCGTGTCCAGAGAAGGCCTGCAGCAGGATGGGGGTCTTCATGTCCTTCTTAAGCACTGGAAATAAGTATTGTTTCTAGAAGATTTTTAATTTATCCAGTCTGTCTTTTTCTTTCATGTCATATTTGACTTTTTCCTAGGGTGTATTGTCACGTTGTTTACTTGTCTTGACTTTATTATAACACTTTAGCACCAAGGTTCTATTCCAGGAGTCTCTATGCCTCTAATTCATGGATTATTCATTCTGACTTGAAGGATTAACCCTTTCTGTCTAAAAGAGTCGGCGCGGCAGGGAGCCAGATTTGGCATCCTTCGTGTTGTTATTGCTTTTTAAAAGAGAGCATGTGGCTGTCGTTAAAGCTTCTATACTACTACTCTTTAAAAGCGATACTACTATCACCGGTAGAATTATTCCCAGCACCAGGGAATAATGGAGACGAGCTCGGCCGACTGGGAGTAGGCTGCTTATTTCCCGTCTCGGTTCCATCCCCAGCACCAATAGGACCATTCCCAGCACCGGTAAGATCATCCCCAGCACCAGGGGATAATGGGGACGAGCCCGGCCGACTGGGAGTAGGCTGCTTATTTCCCGTCTCGGTTCCATCCCCAGCACCGGTAAGATCATCCCCAGCACCAGGGGATAATGGGGACGAGCCCGGCCGACTGGGAGTAGGCTGCTTATTTCCCGTCTCGGTTCCATCCCCAGCACCAATAGGACCATTCCCAGCACCGGTAAGATCATCCCCAGCACCGGTAAAATCATCCCCAGCACCGGTAGAATTATTCCCAGTACCAGTAAAATCATCCCCAGCACCAGTAAAATCATCCCCTACACTAGTAGAATCATCCCCAGCACCGGTAGAATCATCCCCAGCATCGGGGAATAATGGAGACGATCCCGGGGGACTGGGAGTAGGCCAACTAGGAGTAGGCCGCTTATTTCCCGTCTCGTTTCTATTCCCAGCACCAATAGGACTATTCCCAGCACCGGTAGAATCATCCTCAGCACCGGGGAATAATGGAGACGAGCCCGGGGGACTGGGAGTAGGCCGACTAGGAGTTGGCGGCTTATTTCCCGTCTCGTCTTTATTATCGCTCGGGATACCGGGAGTAGGCGGCTTATTTCCCGTCTCGTCTTTATTATCGCTCGGGATACCGGGAGTAGGCGGCTTATTTCCCGTCTCGTCTTTATTATCGCTCGGGATACCGGGAGTAGGCGGCTTATTTCCCGTCTCGTCTTCATTACCACTCGGGGTATTGGGAGTAGGCTGTCCATTTCCAGTCTCGGTGCCACCGCCCTTTTCTAACTGTTCAGCGTATTGCTCCAATTGCTTCGCGTAGTTTCGTACTATCTGGGCTTGTTGCTTGGCGGCAGTATCCTCCGCGGGGGTTCTCCTGGTAAGCTCGACCCTGGCGCCACCTCTAACTCTATTATGGGGTGACGCAAAGGCAGAGGCGGCGACTTGAAAGAGTTTGTGTTAGTCGTTGGTTTCAGTCATGCGACATGATATGGCGGCGCATCCAACGCACACAAAGGGACGAAGAGGACTCAGAAACAACAGGATATACGTACAGGCCACAAGTGTCACCGTAGCGATGCGAACCATTTTTGATGTCCTTTTAGGGTCCCTTTGAATTCTATAAAATGGAAAGGAAATGAGATTGAAATAGTCGGAACCGAGACTATAATAGAGACTAGGGAATCAATAGATTTTTATCAGGTGTAGAGGCCTAGCTGTTATAGCATGAAGAGGTGTAGCGTCCATTTCTATTAGATTTGGCCGTCCTTTTATACTCAGCCTAGTAGCTTTCCACTCTACAGCCGCGAGCATTGTGCAGGACTATCCCATCGTCATTCCGTGCATAAATTCAATGCTGCGTGTGTGATACAAGCGATGGCGATGAGTCAGTATCATGTACCGTGGCAGTGCCATGCATACCATCGATACGACTTAAGTTGAGACACAGCCCGCTAGTGGCTGGTTCGTCATTCAATGCAGATAAAATATTACCAAGGAACGGGAGAGCCTCACGAGCCGTGAAGGTCCCAGCTCTTGTAAAGTCTGAAACAGGACGGCCCACTCGCTTGCCTTCCAGCCATCGGCATGATGAGGAGCAAGGGAGGGTGGTAGTATAGCAAGCTGTATACTTGTCTACAGTAAGCATGTAATCCATCCTTTTAGAAAAGCAGGTTTTGAGCTAGTAAACATGTTCTATATCCTACTGTTTCGGAAGGGACTCGCATAAAGGTAGTTCAGGGTGTCCCGTTGTCGATTGGGACATGTGGCATAACATGAAACACGATTCCATTATAAGCTTATAACTGTGACTCTCAGCCAGGTGGAGCTTAAGGTACTTGTGGCATGATGCATTGCCGTCACACAGCCTCAATTCCAAGCGAATCCATTATACGCATTTCCACGAACTAGTCGACATGACTTGTGCATCTATGCCTTATGCTAAGCATGTGTTGGTTACTTTAAAGGTTCATGCTGCCATAGTGCAGCAATAGACAGCACACCAAAAAGATGAAACGTTTACTCTATCAAGCTGAACCAGCTGTACCCTACTCTTCTCGCCATAGGTACACAATGACCTCGGACTACGCCTCTTGGTGTTGCGCTACTTGATCTGACAAGGCCACTTCCTCGCTAACACCCAGCATTGGTATATCTATATCCTCCATTTGAGAGCTCTTGGACTCTCGTCAATTCTGAAACCACGCACTCATCTTCGAGATCAAATAATCTCTTTAATTCGTAGCTACGATTTTACTATAACTAGCTGCTGGATATAAGTCGCGCTTGATCTTGTCCAAAATATACTATAATCAACGTGCTCAGTAAGCCCCATGAATTAAAGTAGATACCTAAGCCATCATTCCTTACTATCCCTGTTCAAGCCGCAGGAAAGCCTAATAGTTATAAGCTTGCCTGACTCGCATCCGATCCGATCATAATGGTAGATCCTGACACCGCCCAGCAGCAAGGACAAAATTCCACTGGTATCCAGAGTGCATTTTCTCCATTGAACGTGATCCAGGATCCATCCTTGCTAATGCTATAGGCGGCGTAAGGTTCAGGTGGAGAAATATTTCGAGCATCTATACAACATGACACAGAAGGCGTATCACGTATAGTAAAAATGCCGTGAGTAGTCAGTAAACGCGTAATATCTGCTGCATATGACAAAACATCTGTTGTAATGCCAACGCTGATTTCCTCCCTGCATTCGCCGGTCTCCAACGCTGCATATCCGCATCATCTTACCGTTGGAGGCTGAGGTCATGAGTATTGAATCGCATGAGAAGGCAGCCGAGGTTATCCAGCTACTATGGCCCGTGACAGATTGCTTACACTTTCCCATATCCACACACCAAATCTGTACTATCCCGTTAGTAGAGCCCGAGACCACGAGAGTTGAGTCGTGTGAGAAGGCTATTGTGCTCACTGCACCGCTCGGGCCTTCGGGGCTTTCAAGGATCTGCGTGTACTCGCCCGCATTCACACGCCAGATTAACATCTTGTCGTTCGAAGCAGAGGCCACGAGAGTCGAATCTTGCGAGAAAGCTATGAAGCCTACTGCGCCGCTATGGTCGTTGGGGCCCTCAAGGGTCCGTATATGCGTGTCTGTATTTACACACCAGATTCGTATCATCGTGTCGTTGGAAGCTGAGGCCCCAAGCTTTGAATCGTGTGAGAAGGCCACCGAGTTAACCTAACTTCTATGGCCTTTTAGAGCCTGTATACACTCGCCCGTAGCCGTACACCAAATTTGAATAATCTTATCATCAGAGGCTGAGGCTATGAGTGCGGAGTTGTTACACGGACATCGCCTGTTACACAAGGGCTACGGTCACTAGACCTAGGGCAAAGTCCCTCACCGACTTCTTGTATTTATAGACACCTTTGGTCCCTCAAGGCCTTGAGGAAAACCAAGGACCTTTGATACCAAAGACTGTTATTAGCTGAATTGAGCTATTGCTTCAAGCTCTCATAACGAGCCCTTGTCACAGTAGTCATGCGAGAAGGCTATCAAGTTCACCCAGCCACCATGATCTTTGAGAGGCTGTATACAGTCGACCGTACTTATACCCCAGATTCGTATCATCTTATCGTTGGATTCAGAAGCTACAAGTGTTGAATCATGTGAGAAGGCGACCGAGTCCACCCAGTTATCATGGCACTTGAGAGTCTATACACATTGGCTCATGCCCGCGCGCCAGATTCGTACCGGTCTCGTCATTGGACGCCGAGGCAATGAGCTTTGGGTCGTGGGAGAAAGCCACAGAATTCACCGCGGCACCATGATCTTCCAGAGTCTGCAGGTATTGGGCCCAAACACTCTCTGTTTTAGGCCCAAGCAGTATCCAACTTGGAATTTGTGTTTCAAATATCAACCGCACCGTACTCTTGTTTGGCGCGAATGCGAGTAGCGAGGGATAAATTTGAAGAGGAGCCGCGTCAATAACTCAGATGCCCGCAAGAATAAATCGAAAAGCGTCATCAACTAAGTCTAGCAACTCGGTATGTTCTTGAAGCTACTTCAAAGTTAACTGAGTTATATATCACTAAGCGTATACCTTATTAATCTACCTTAGCAAATGCTTGTAACGCCTTGATTAGTCGAACGCTGTCCGAAGCTCTCCCTAGAAGACTTAATGCTTCAATCTAATGGAGAAAATAGTGGGTAAGAAAGTCATAGACTTGTTCGCTATATAGACAGTGGTTTTCATCCTCTTGTAGATGATATGCCCAGTATAGACAGGCATATTGTACCTCTGGCGAAAGGCAGGCGTTTACTTTCTGGGCACTAATCGTAGATCGGGGTGTGCCGGGAGCTTAAACGCCACAGATATCTTGTCAAAGATGGCACATCATACGCAGACAGCCAATAAATAGTCAGCTCTTTGTGAGCTTTTCTTTTATCAATCCAGAAGAGGTTCTTTCCGCGCTTATCAGGGTCTAATAAGATATCGCGAAAGGATAGATGAAGCAGCCTACTGCTGACTGTGCTGATGGCGGAATGCTTAACACTGAGTGCAGCATATCTAATCTATCATCAATATTTTCGCGTGGAATGTCAAGAATCTGTGCCAATGCAGATGTCGATAAGGATCTGCGAGTACGATGATGGCGCCGACGATGCGTCGAAATTCCTGAACCTTGTCCCGACGCATGTTGGACAGTCCCATGATGAGTTTATTCAGGACAGGTAGATACTTCGCATCTCGTTGTGATATGTCACTACCTATGTGTATAACCTCCTGCAGCTGACGGTCGGGGTTGGCGTCGTTGCGATCAGCGATAAAGCGGCATACGGTAGCTGCGAAAATAAACAGCGGGCTCACCATCCGAACCAGTAACTTAATAGTCGATTGGTCAGGCCAGGATTCTGGTAACTTTCTATCCTCCCGAACCTAAGCATTGTATTCGTCTCGGATATTTGCAAGCTCGTGCTCTAAAAATTCTGATATATCGTGCTCAACCATGGTTTCGGCTATTTGATGGAGTACTAGGTCCTGATATGTTCCCTCAATCCTACTAAACTTAAGTCTTATTAGCAGTTCTAGCCGGCTGGTTAAGAAGATTCGTAGTCCCGCGGCCTCCAACATGTTAGTACGAGAGAAAAGATAGATCAAAAGCGTAATATCATCCTGTCGTTCGCATTCATCTAGTGCGTCGACAACAACAACGGTGGGATCGTTCCTGATCTCTGGCGCAATCATGGATAAAGGTTTTAAGATAAGCCTATCGAATTATTCTCGCATTGCCTTTCTTAGGATGGCTGGGTCGGCATCAATAGCATTCTTCATGTGGAGAGAGATGGCTGGCTTTCTCGCAATGAGATCCGCCGCAATTATTGAGAAGAACTTATTCAGGTCCCCTCTATCAGCTTCCCCCTCTTAAAGAAGAAGCCGGCTCCAATGCGATGCCCTTTAGTGAAGTTTTGGGCAACCGTACGGGCTATGGTTGACTTCCCAGTCCCTGCCATGCCGTTCAGCCAGAAGATTATTGGGGTCCGCAGCCCATGCTGAAATTTGTTGGAGATCTACTCGGGTATTCTACAGGTAAATCCGGCCATTTTCTTCCTCGTGGGAGTCAAAACAGGCTCCTTTGGCAATTGGGAGGCGGTCGAGAACAGTCTTTCGATCAATTTCGACAAGATTATTGCTGTTACCAGTCAATTAGTGCTTTTCCCTGGCAGTATTACTATGGAGAGGTTTCGTAGTACGGCTGGTCAACTCGCAAAGCCAAATGCGTGGTTCGCGTACATCTTTCAAGATCTTGGACGATATGCCCGACGTCTTTGCTTTGGAAGGGCCATTTCAAGGTTTGAGATCCAAGCCATGTGATTGCCCGACGGGCTGTTTTTGGTCTAAGTTTGTCATGTAACTGGTGCAGTCTTAATTGGCAGTCCTGGATGGCATTGGATAGCTGTTGAAAAGCCTCGAGCTTTGCACGATGTGGCCCATTGATGAGCTGTTGAATGCTCTTCGAGGCATGCTCGAGGTTCGCAACTTCTCTGCGTAGTCTAGAAGTGTCATCCCTCACTTTTTTGACGTCATTGAAATACTGGAAGCACAGCAAGGCAACCTTGTGTGGGCAAATCAACGATGGCGAGGACACTCGAAGCCCCCGAGAGACCTTCCAATGTTGATAAATGTGGTATTGACAGTACGCAGAGTAAAGAACTTCAACCCCACGATCTTTGGGTATTTAGATGATGTGTCAAAGCCTGATGAGGCTGTTGATTTGGTCGGATGCATGTTATTCAGCCACGTAGCACCGTATCAGGCCGGGTTGTGCTGCGACGGTACTTTTTTGGTTCCAAGTGCCGAGAGTAAACTTGCTGCAGCTTTGTCTTATTTGTTGTCAACCACTTCCGCCAGACTGTCTGCTTATCCAAGCCATCGTTGAAGCCTGCCAATGCGATTCATTACATTTTCATCATGTGCAGCATTATGATCACTCTACACTATAGGATCGCGTAATATATTTTTAGCTTTTGGGTGTGTTGTAATGCATGTACCGTGTGTGCATGTGGTCAGTCTAGGGTACTGCCATGGTATATCTGCAAGACGTGATACGAGACATTTATAAATCAATTAAAGTCGTCATGTGATCACAGCAACACGAGCTACGATGGTTAAAAGCCATTTCATCTTCCGTAGTATAGTGGTCAGTATGCAAGCTTGTCACGCTTGAGACCCGGGTTCAATTCCCGGCGGGAGAGACCCATTCAAGCTGTTCTTTTTTTGCACTTTGTAGAATTGGCACATCCTTTAAAGAGCTCTCTCTCTATATATATATATATACTCGAACGAACCGCTTTTTTTTTGTGTCCATCTAAAAAAAGGGGTGCAGCTGGTAGTCATGGCGATAATTGAATCAGGCACTGGATGGGGTGGTCGCCACGAAGGTCGTTGTCAGTATGCAAGCGTGACGGCATCACTCTCCCTCGTACGCTTCATGTAGCTCCTAGGTTTGAATCGCGAGTTGGCTCCACCGCATTAGGATTGTAACGGCTGTACTATCATTGGTTATTCGTTTTCCCGCGGCCTGTCTGTCCCTACGCTTCCCTGGCAGTCAGCCACAGGTGCTGGTGTTCACTTACCCTAGGGACCAACGCGAATTCACTCTGTGCGAGGCAATTGATATAAAATAACATTTGAAAGTTTTTCCGTTTAGCGACAGGTCGCCTTGTCCTGGCAGAGATGGGGGCCACTCTTATCCTATCTGGGGAGGTTGGTATCGGGAGCAACCCGATGGATTCGTTTGAGATTCGAGACATTGAACACCGTCCAGACATGGTTTGAAATCAACCCGTGGATCGACGCCTCGCGATCAAACTACACCGAGACACACACAGCTCAAGAAACTGTTTTAGCGCAGAAGAAACCTCCGCACCAATTAACATCAACAGTCGGCGGCGCCAATCATACCACACGATAATGGCGGTTGGGCTTAGGGGAAGCAGTGAATGAAGCGGCAGACGCTGTGACGGATAGGTGAAGAGACCCTTGAGTCTCTCCCTCATTTGAAGTCCTACATGAATATTTGAATCGACCGATTGACCAGGTCATCATCAGCCGGAAGAGTACCTTGTGGTGTAAAATGCCGTCATCTTGAGCTGCTGAAGAAGTTGGTCCAGAAATTATCACGATAGTTAGGAAATGAGTATACGTCCGTCGGCAAGGGATAGCCGGCGTTTTGAGGACGTCCTTCTTGTGTCGAGCTATCCTATCTGAGGTATGAGAAGAGGTGTGTTTTGTAATGGCTACAATCTCTTAAGGCCAGATGGCCAGATTAGGTTTTGACCAGCCCGTGATAGCAAACCCGTTATCCGTGCGCGATGGGTAGCTCATAGCGCAAGTCTCCCTGTTAGACTTTTTCTGAAACAAAAAAACTTTGCATTTCAGAATTACTGGTATTTGAAACTGGCCATGGCGAAAATATCGACCTTTTCTTACTCCGCGCGTGGATGCGGTCGGCCTGGCCCGCTTGCAAAGGGTCGTTCCGATGGATGCGGTCAAATCAAGGCGAATGAATGACGGCCTCGAGAGCCCAGAAAGGGTCAAGCCGAGAGCCGCCTGTTCCAACGGAATCATAATAATAGTAGTAGTACTAATAAAAAACAAGCCGCAGCATCACACC